CTGAGCTGGGAGCTCCATTGTTCCATTCAGAGCTGCTAGGCAGGTAAGTTTTAGTCTGCTGCAGTGAAACTCATAACCACCTTTTTTCCCAGGTTCTCTGTCCTGGGAAGGTGGAGCTTTATTTATAAGTTCCTTACATGATGCTGCCTTTCTTCAGAGATGCCCTGCCCAGCACGGAGGTAGTCTAGTCACGGTCTGCCAGCAGAGGCATTGCTCAGCTGCTGTGGGCTCTGCCCAGCTGCTATGTGAACTTCCTTGCAGTTTTGTTTACAGAGGTACACTTAGAGCTGCCTCAGTAATGGCAGTCTGCCTCAGTAATGGCAGACTGCCTCAGTAAATGCAGATTGCCTCAGGAATGGCGGACTGCCTCGGTAATGGTGGATTGCCTTGGTAATGGCGGACTGCCTCAGTAAAGGTGGATTGCCTTGTTAATGGTAGACTGCCTCAGTAATGGCAGATTGCCTCGGTAGTGGTAGATTGCCTCGGTAATGGCCGACACCCTTCCCCCAACCAAGCTGGACTGTCTCAGGTCGAGCTGCACTTGCTGCAAAACTCCCAATCCAGAGCGTTTCAGATTGCTGGGTTTTGTAGGGGTAGGACTTGCTGAGCCAGATCGCCTGGCTCCGTTTCAGCCCCCTTTTTTTTCAGTTGAATGGGTAGCTCTGTATCCCAGGCGTTCCAGGTGCCAGTTGAAATGGCCACCCAGATTTGTGTGAGTTTTTGTGCACAGACCTGTGGCAGTGCTGGAAACTTGTGGCACTTTTCAGCCCAGGAATTTCCTGGTCTGTGGGCAGTAAAAACTCATTTGGAAATTCAGTGATCACTCACCCTCTGTGTTGTTCTCACTGGGAACTGCACTCCAGAGCTGTTCCTATTTGGCCATCTTGGGTCTGTCCCCATTAAAGTTTTCAAATGCATTGACAAGCATTTTTTCATAGTAGTTCCATGACTTTTAAAATTTTTTGAGTATTTTAATCTTTATGAGAGATCCCATTTACTTATAGCTTCATTAGATTTTCACCAGTTAGACTGTTAGCTTTTTTGTTAACTTGATGGGTATAAAATTACATCTTGTCCTTGTTTGGTTGTATCCCATGTAAATATGTTATTTTGCTTATTTTCTTGTGATCATTTTTGCCTGAGATATATCTATTAGTCTCATCGAAAAACCAGCTTTTGATTTTGCTGGCCATCTCTATTGTTTTTATTTTTCTATTTTTCTAAAGTATTTTCTTCATTATGTCCTTCCTTCTTCTTGGTTTTACTTTATTGTTCTTTTCCTAGCTTCTTGATTTGAACTTTTAAACCATTTTTCAGTCCTTTTAAAAAACAAAAATGTCACTATGGAATGTGTCTCCCCAAATTCATGTGTTGGAAACTTAATTCCCAATGCAAAAGTGTTCAGTGCTAGGACCTTGAAGGGGTGATTAGGTCATGAGGGCTTTTCCCTCATGAATGGATTAATGTTGCTATCATAGAAGTAGGTTCATTATCACATGAGTAGCTTCCTTATCACTAGAGTGGGCTTGTTATAAAACTGAGTTTGGTTCTTTCTTGCTCTCCCTCTCATCCTCTCACCTTCCATCAGGGAGTGACAGAACAAAAATGCCCTCTCCAGATTCCTGGTAACCTTAATATTGGACTTCCCAGCCTTCAGAATTGAGAGAAATGAATTTCCTTTTGGTATAATTACCCAGTCTATAGTATTCTATTATAGCAGCACAAAACAGACTAAGACAGAAAATTGGTACCAAGAAGTGGGGTTGTTTGCTGTAACAAATACTTGAAAATGTTGAAGCTTCAGTGGCACAACTGGTTATCGTGTGGTACTTACATAACAGATACCTGAAAATGTGGAACTGACATTGAATCTGGGTACAGTAGTTCCCCATTACCAATGGGAGGATATGTTTCAAGACCTCCAGTGCATGCCTGAAACTGTGGATAGTACCAAATTCTATAGATACTATGTTTTTTTCTATAAATAACAAACCCATGATCAAGTTTAATTGATAAATAAGTCACAATATGAGATAAACAATAATAAAATAGAAGAATTATAACAAGATAATGTAATAGAAATTATATGAATGTGGCCTCACTCAAACTATCTTATTGTACTTTATTCTGAGTACCTGAAACCACAGAAAGTGAAACCTCCAATATGGAAGGATTATTATAATGGATAGAGGCTGAAAGAACTTAGAGGAACAGGCTAGAAGCAGCCTAGACTGCCATGAATGGGGCATTAAGGTGATTCTGTTGAGGACTCAGAAGAAGAGAACTGTAGGGAAAGTCTGGAACTTTGTTGAGATTATTTAAGTAGTTGCAATCAGCATGCTGGTAGAAATATGGATTATAAATCCACCAAGATTTCAAAGATCTCTGATGAAGTCTCAGATGAAACTGAGGAACAAGGTTTGGAAACTGAAGTAAAGGCCATCCTTATGTGCAGTTGAAAATAACTTGGCAGAATTGTGTCCATGTCCTAGGATTTTTATGGAAGGCAGAATTTAGAATGATAAACTAGAGTATCTGGCAAAAGAATTATCTAAGCAGCAAAGCATTCAAGATGCTGCATGGCTTCTTTCGGCTGCTTACAGTAAAATGAGAGAAAAGAGAAGCGATTTCAAAATGAAATTTGTAATTAAAAGAGAAGCAGAAAGTAAAAATTTTGAAAAATTTTAGCATGGCCATGTGAAGAATGAAAAGGTGTATTCTGGACAAATACTAACTGTGGCCAAATGACTGCTAAAGAAATTAATATAAATAGAAAGAAGCCAGGTTCTTTTCATAAAGACAATATGAAAAAATGACCCCAAAGGCATTTCAGCAATCCTCAATGCAAGCTAGGAGGGCAAGGTTTCCAGAAAAGTACCCATGGAACTTCAGCATTCGCTGCTCTGCACCACCTCAGGACTGGACCCCCGGCATTTCAGCATAGCACCCCTCAGCCACCCCAGTCATGGCTCAAGAGGGCCCTGGTGCAGCTTGGCCTACCACTCCAGAAGGTAAAGCCATAAGACCTGGCAATGTGCATGTGGTACTAATTCTGCAGGTGGGCAGAATGCAAGAGCTGTGGGGCTATCTTGGCCGCCACTAAGATTTCAAAGGATGTTGCTGACAGCCTAGAGGCTCAGGCAGAGACTTGTCACAATGGTAGATCCTCTGTAGAGTGCCCCTACTGAGACAATGCCTAGTGAGTCACGGGAGTGGGGCAGCCCCTGAGACTGCAGAATGGTAGGGCCACAAACCTGCAGCTCTAGCCTGGGAAAGCTGCAGGCACAAAACTCGAACCTGTGAGAGCGGCTAAGTGGGTTAGGCCCAGCAAAGCCATAGACACAGTGTTGCCTGAGCCCTGGTGGGCCCAACTCCAACTCCAGTGTGCCCAGGATGCAGGACATGGAGCCAAAAGAGGTTAATTTCCAGCTTTAAAACTTACATTGTTTTCCCTGTTGGGTTTTGGACTTACTTGGGACTAGTTACTCTTTTCTTCTTGACTATTTTTCCCTTGGAATGGGTGTCTCCTATGCCTAGCTTTTCATTGTATTTTAGAAGTAGATAACTTGTTTAATTTTATAGGTTCACGGGAGGGAAATGTGCCTTAGTATGAATTGTGTCTTGAGTCTTACCTATGTCTTACTTAGATGAGACTCTGGTCTTTTTTTTTTTTTTTTTTTTTTTTTTTGAGATGGAGTCTTGCTCTGTACCCCAGGCTGGGGTGCAGTGGTGTGATCTCAGCTCACTGCAACTTCTGCCTCCTGGCTCCCAGTTCAAGCAATTCTCCTACCTCTGCCTCCCAAGTAGCTGGGATTACAGGCATGAGCCACCATGCCCAGCTAATATTTTTGTATTTATTAGTAGAGACAGATTTTAACCATGTTGGCCAGTCTGATCTTGAACTCCTGACCTCGTGATCTGCCTGCCTCGGCCTCCCAAAGTATTGGGATTACAGGCATGAGCCACTGTGCCTGGCTTGGACTTTGGACTTCTAAGTTGATTTTGGAACAAGTTGAGACTTTTGGGGCTACTGGGATAGAATGAATGTATTTTGCATGTGAGAAGACATGAATTTTGTGGGCTGGGGTAGAATGCTATGGTTTGAATGTGTCCCCTGAAATTAATCCTCAATGCAACAGTGTTAAGAAGTGGGACCTTTAAAGGTGATTAGGTCTTAAGATCTCTGCCCCCAAGAATGGATTAATATCATTATTGCAGAAGTGGGGTTGTTGTTGTGAGAATGGATTTGTTTTAAAACTAAGTTCAGCTCTCTCTTGCTCTCTCTCACTCACCTTCTCTAACTCACTTGAATTCTGCCATGGCATAACCTCAGCAAGAAGGCCCTCACCTGATGCAGCTCCTCAACCTTGTGCTTTCCAGCCTTCAGAAGTATAAGAAATCTCTGTTCTTTACAGATTACCCAAGTCTCATGTATTCTGTTATCACAAAACAGACTAATACCCAGTATAACCATAATTTCTCCCTTTAAGTATAACTTTGCTGTCTCTAATGTGTATTTTAATATTTTAGCACTTTTACTGTCACTCAGTTCTACAGATAGCATCAGGCTGGGCATGGTGGCTCACACCTGTAGTCTCAGCACTTTGGGAGGCCAAGGTGGGCAGATCACTTGAAGTCAGGAGTTTGAACCTAGCCTGGCCAGCATGGTGAAACCCTGATTCTACTGAAAAAATACAAAAATTATCTGGGTATAGTGTAATTGCAGCTATTTGGGAGGCTGAGGCACGAGAATCACTTGAACCTAGGAGGTGGAGGTTGCAGTGAGCCAAGATTGTGCCACTGCACTCTAGCCTAGGTGAGAGAGTAAGAGTTTGTCTCAAAAAAAAAAAAAAAAAAAAAAAAACCCAAAAAACTATAAATAAATAGATCATCATTTCCATGGTAATATTACTAACAGTCAAGTCCTGTTTCATATAGATGAAAAATTCTTCATTTTTCGAAGATTTTTAACTGACTTAATGATGGGTTATTTATTACAGAACTTGAATGGAAGCTAGCAGAAGTTGGAGCAATACAGACTGATTTGGAAGAAAACCCCAAAAAAGACATTGTAGATATGATGGTATCTTCAATTAAAAACACTTCTATTCATGATGACAGTAATAGCTCCAACAGTGATAATGATAACATATAGAGAGAAATATTCAATAAACAGCTTTTAAAGTGTATGTGTACTAAATGTTTTACTTATGACCTCTTTTATAATTAGAGATCAGAAAATTTATAAATGTATTTATTTTATTTTCATTTTTATATTAGAATTATGATGTATTTGTCATTTCAAAAATTTGTCATTTCAGAATGTTTATTGTTGCCTCTTAAAAAAAAACAGAATTTGAGGCCAGGCGCGGTGGCTCAAGCCTGTAATCCCAGCACTTTGGGAGGCCAAGGCGGGTGGATCACAAGGTCGAGAGATCGAGACCAACCTGGTCAACATGGTGAAACCCCGTCTCTACTAAAAATACAAAACATTAGCTGGGCATGGTGGCACATGCCTTTAGTCCCAGCTACTCAGGAGGCTGAGGCAGGAGAATTGCCTGAACCCAGGAGGCGGAGGTTGCGGTGAGCCGAGATCACGCCATTGCACTCCAGCCTGGGTAACAAGAGCAAAACTCCGTCTCAAAAAAAAAAAAAAAAAACAGAATTTGTATTAAGTCCTTAATATTTTTCTGTGGTTTATGCTTTTTCTAACCCATGTTGGACAAAAACACAAATATTACAAGGCCTTTTCTTGCTTACTCACTTCCAAAGAGAACTATGAATTAAAGCAATGATAGAAAACCATGAAAATTTTTTAAGTTCAACACATTTTAAAGTCCAGAGACTTAAGTAAAAAGTTTTAAATTTATGACCATAATGCTTTTTTTTTGAAATCTCTTACCTATTAAAAAATTAACCACTTAATAGCACAATGCAATTAATACATTATGAAAAATACATTAAAAACATCTCCATTCATTATTATTGTTGTGAGTAGTTACTATTAAGTTAGAAAATTACTAAGTATTCTCAGTAATAGTTAAACTCTAGAATTATTAGAACACTATGCCATATAAGTTTCTAAATCCTGAGGAGAGGTGAGAAAAATATATCATAGGATGATCTATATTTTAATAGTAATCACAGAAGAATTCATCATGAGAAAAGATGCATTAGTCCACTGCAGAAGGCCTATAGGATATTTCCTCTTGGCATAATAATGAACATCACTTTTAGAGGAAAGGTTGGTAAATCCAGCATATAAGAGTACCGTGACAGATTTTATTCTACTTTTTAAAATTCATTACCCACAATTCTCATTATGGATGTTCACTGATATTTGTGAGAGAATCTAGACTAAGTTTAAATGCCTAGATTACAAAAATAAATTGATAAGAATTGAGGCAATTGAACATTGAGTCAAGAAAGTCTCTTTCTTGCTATTGGTGGGGGTTTAGGGATCTTAGAAGCTATAGAGAACCATGAAGTGGAAGGAAAGTTACATACACATTTGAGCAAGGTAATGAGAATTTATTTCACCAGATAAGGTAAAATCAAGTGACCTAATTTTGAAAAGGATTAGGAAAACCCCTTTCTTCTGAGATAGTAAATATACATCTTGGGACTAGATGGAGGAAAATTCAGAGCGGTCACAAACAGTGGTCTTTATTATAGCATTACACACACATGTCAGAGAGGTAATTACCTAGTTTTATTTATCCAATTCCTGAACCCTTCAGAAATAGATGGATAAGTTACTATTCTGGATAAAACCAGCCCTGGAAATGAAAGGAAGAGCCATTTTCTAAAGTTACAATGTAACTCTAAAGCCATCTAATGTATATAATCATATTTATCAAAATAATGTTCATATGCATTATTTTCCCCTCCAAATGAAACCAAATGCAAAAAGTCCCCCTAACTGTAGTCTTTTTAAAAGTAAATATATATTTATCTATTTTCTTTTTAAAGTTAAAACAAAGAAGTACTCATAGTATTTAGGAGAGCTTAAAAAAGATACTTCCTTTTGTCTTAACTTAGAGCCACCAGGTGGCAGTAAGTTTTTGCCCACCAACAGTTTTGAAGACTAACATTTGTAAAAGTTATAAAATTATATCATGTTAGAACTGTCTGCTTGTGATTCCAGCCCCGCTCTTTAGCAAAGTGCATGCGCACATTCTGATGCCTACCAACACAGGTCACCACTACTTCCATACACTGCTTCATGTATATATTCTCATTTGACTAGGGTAAAAATATTTGTCAGGATATACAGAAATTATTTAATATGTAATATTGTTCCCCATTTTACTGAATGAATATTCAAAGGGGTACAAAATTAAGTTTTTTGAATTGCCAAGATTCAGTCATTTTTTGAAGGATAAAAATTAATATTTTATCCTAATATTTTTGTCTATTCCTTGCCAACTATGCTCTATTGAATCTCCCTTCTCTACTTTATAGTGCCTTGTTTGTGAAAATGTGGTCCTAGAATCAGCAGCATTCCTAAGGAGCTTGTTAGAAATGCAGAATCTCTAGCCCAATCCCAGACTAACTTAATCATAATTTTCATTTTAATGAGATCCCCAGGTGATTGATATGCACATTAAAATTCGAGAAGCACTAGGCAGCAAATCCTTTAAAAACAACATGAGCATCTTCTTTTTACTCATCTCACAGTGTGGGTTATTAAGTCTATCTAGTTGAACACTCCAATGTCAGTTCCAAGCAAATATTCTCTGGCTGAACTTGTGACTTAAGGAACTCTGAAGATGAAGGTGGAGTTTGTTTTCAACCAATTTTTCCCTCTCCTTTTGAGGCAGGAGAATAGGGTCTGGAGGCGGGGAACCTAGGGCTGTTTCCTGCCAACTTCCTAGGGCTAGATTTAAAGGAAAACCCTAACTTTCCATGCCTAAGTAACAAAAGGACCAGAGGATACTCCCTTTGCAAACTCTCACCTTTTGTTCCTGGCAGATTGGAAATTGGCTGCCGGCAACCAATCAGACTGATTGTAGGCTGAGCGTCCCTTTGCACCTTTGTAACTTTACCTTAGCCTGACTGGTTGCTTTTGGCAACCAATTGTGAGCCACCACTTCATTTATGTGAGGTGACCATGAAATGAAGTGGCCAATGGGAAGCCTCTAGGGGGTATTTGGACCTGAGAAGATTCTGAGCTGCTACTTGGGCCTGCTCCCACGCTGTGAAGTGTACTTTCGTTGTCAATAAACTCCTGCTTTCGTTCTTTAGTTGCTTCATTCTTTCTTTGCGTTACTGGGTGTTTTGTCCAATTCTTTGTTCAGAATGCCAAGAACTTGGACAACATGCAGTCATGAGCCTCTACCAGTAACACTTTCAGAGCCTATCCTTTTAGTGTTGGGACTGGGAGAGAAAATAGAGATAAAAGGGATAAATTTCTCTTAACTGTACAATGAATACTGCATCCAAATGTTTGCTCACTCTTTAATGGGGCACACTGAGTTCTCCTAGAAACTCTGAGACAGCTTCCCAACTACACAGTCCCTCAATCAACATGGGATATGTACCAGTTGTAGCTCTATCTCTACTTACTCTCTTGGTTTCCTCTCCCAGAAGTAAATCCAGCCTCTTGCTGCTAGAATTTCTTTCCCCCTTGGTGTCAAGATGGTTCAAACCTGGACAGCACTTTCTACACAGCATGAAATGACCCATGAGAAACTTACACATCTTTGGTATCCTTGCTATGTCAAATGGTAAACGTTGTAGATTGCTTTATTTCAGCCCACTCTCTGGTCAGCTATTTCTCCAACTCCTGTTTCATGTAGGTACAAGGCAGTATCAACAAGTTTGCTAGTGAATGAGATACCACTTTCCTTCTCTCACAGTCACCTAGCTGATTCTGTTGGAGCCTCGTTCACTTGGGGTAGGGTGAGGCATAAAAAGGAAAAGAAAAGCCATAACATTTCCCAGGAACCTGGCTTTAGCGATTCTCTCAGGTGTTTTTCCTCTTCCCAAGTGTTGGGCTTATATGGTCTGAGGGTAGAGAGTTGCAGGTTTTGCATATGGTAGATCTCTTTTTGTTCAACTTTTATCCTTGGGTGAAAGAGTGGGTATCTAACCGCAAAAGCTGGCAGCTCTTTAGAAGGTGAGGTACTTCATGCTCTTGTTCCCTATTTTAGATTTCAATCAGCATCTTCTTATACGGTAGCAGCTGTATCTATTCTTGTGGGTTCTCAAGTATTCAATCACTAGAACAGTATTAGTCACATATTTCACTAACTGATTTTAGTTTGTTTCTCCTTTGTATTTTCAAGCACATTACTAAGGCTACCCCTTGACAATAATCTGCCTGCAGTCATAATTTAGAATAAAGATGATCCTAAAAATCTTCTTTCTGGCATTTCATTCCTTCATTATATCATTCATTCACCTCAAGCATTGGTGTTGTTTTGTTTTGTTTTGTTTTGAGACTGACTCACTGTGTCACCCAGGTTGGAGTGCAGCAGTGCAACCAGGGCTCACTGCAGCCTCCGCCTCCCAAGTTCAAGTGATTCTTTTGCCTTAGCCTCCCAGGTAGCTAGGGCTACAGATGTGCACCACTACACTCAGCCAATGTTTTTGTACTTTTAGTAGAGATGGGGTTTCACTATGTTGGCCAGGCTGGTCTTGAACTCCTGACCTCAAGTGATCCACCTGCCTTGGCCTCCCAAAGTGCTGGGATTACAGGTGTGAGCCATCACACCTGGCTTGGTTTTTATTTTTAAATGTTAATAATTTATTTTAGTGATGGGTTCTTGCTATGTTGCCCAGGCTATACCTGAACTCCTGGGCTCAAGCAATCCTCCCACCTCAGCTGGAACTACAGGTATGTGCCACTGTACCCAGCTCACCAGCTCACCTCTGGCATTAAAATGGATGCTACACATACAGTGGCAAAGAAAACACATGGTTCTTGCCCTTCTGGAGTTTACCATGTGGTGGTACGGAAAATAGTTAATAAGAAAACAAATGCCAAACAAATACATACATAATTTAAACTTGTAGGTATTATGAGGGTAACTGAACACAACAAAAGAGAATAACTGTGGATACTTTGTGGTGGGGGACAGGAAGGAGACCTCCTTGTAGTTAGATCTTTGAGATATGAAGGCTGAGAAGGAGCCAGTCATGAGAAAAGGTAGGAGGAGTCCAGGCAAGGGCACAGTATGCATTAAAGCCTGAGAGCACAGAGAAATTAGCAAGGAACTGAAAGGCAGCAAAAATAGTAAGATATGGAGAGGAAGGGAAGGGCCAGATCAAACAGGTTATTGTGGCCATAATTAGGAATTTGTATGTAATGGAAAATGATAAAAAGAGTTTTTGAAGAAAATAAAATGAATTCATTTTTATTTTCAAAATAATTTGGCTGCTCTCTGGATAACAGATTGAAGGGGGCATCCAAAATATATGTGATACAGAAGAAGAGACATCAGGTAGATAACTGGACATGTGTGTATAGAGCCCAAGGGAGAAGTGAAGGCTGGAGTTAAAAATCTGTGAGTCATTTCAACTATTCCTAGGGTTCCAACAAGAAATAGTAAAGGTCTACAACCACCATCATCACCACCTAACTTTTACATAGCAGCTTAATTTACCTTTGATCATCACAGTTCTCTGAAATGCTTATTCTTGTAACTTACAGATAAGTACCTGAAGCTCAGAGGAATTACTTGACATGCTCACTCTCTCTCAGCATTAGTCAGAATTTAAGCCAAGAGTTTTGACCACAAAGTCTATAATACTACTTCAACTATGAGGCAGGGTTTTGAAGTTCTGTTTTAAAGGGACTAGAAAGAATATGAGTAACTGAATAAACTATGCAAGCTTTAACAAAATACTTAACCTTTAGTCCCTATTAAGAATATTTTAAAGCTTCCTCTTCTCCAATTCACTTTAAATTATGGTAGTAAAACTAGGAATGTCAATGAATGGATGAGAAAGCTATTAGGAAAGAATAGATACAACTTTGTGACTGATGGGACATAGAAGTTAGGGCAAGAATTAGAGTAAGAGACATGAAAATTACCCAAAAAGGAATCTCATTGACAAGAATAGCCAATATTTCTATGGAATTTCTTATGTACTAGATAAAATTACACACACACACACACACACACACACACACACACACACAGTCTCAATTATGCTATGAGACAGGATTGTAATGATCCCATTTTGCAGATGAGGAAATTACAGAGAACTAACTTGCTCAAATCATGCAGATATTAGAGGTGAAGCTATTATTTAAATTCAGGCAGTTTAGTTCCTGATTCTGTACTCTTAACCACTATGCTACATTGCCTACCAACTGGGGGAAATCAGTTGACAGAGGAGTTGGAAATACTCAGTGTAAATGACAGCAAGGTTCACAAGAAGTGAACAGAACATCTGAAATTATGTTTAAGGCTACGGAATATAGATTTAGGATCTATGAAACTATGAATAAGGATTTTTGTTTTATGGAAATGTGAGATATGGAAGTTGGAAAAGCTATTGGAAATATCCAATACAGGCCAGGCACAGTGGCTTGCGCTTTAATCCCAGCACTTTGGTGGCTGAGATGGGTGGATCACTTCAAGCCAGGAGTTCAAGACGAGCATGGCCAACATAGTGGAACACTGTCTCTACTAAAAATACAAAATTTAGCTGGGTGTGGTGGTAGGCATCTGTAATCACAGCTACTTGGAAGGCTGAGGCAGAAGAATTTCTTGAATCTGGGAGGCAGATGTTGCAGTGTGCTGGGATCATGAGACTGTACCCAAGCTGGCAACAGAAGAGACTTTATCTCAAAAAAAAAAAAAAGAAAGAAAAAGAAAAAGAAATAACCAATACATTTTATTTTTTCTTGGAGAGACTGTGGGGAGAAAGGAGAAGCTGTGAACTGAACCATGGGAAATATTCAAGCAGTGAAAGAGGACTGAGCAGAAAAATGGGGGATTATCAATAGGTCTTGGTAAATAAACAGTGAGAGAGGGAGGAGTCAAAGATGGACATGGTTTGATCCTGGTGACTGAGAGGACAGTGAAATCATTAAAAAGGGCAAAGAAATTTTTTAAAGATATATGTTCTAGATGATGGGGAATGTAAGGAGAAATCAGTGTCTCTAGAATAAAATTCAAGCCTCTATCCTAGGGAAAGCATTCAAACCCTCTCTTGTCTGGCTGCAACCTACCTTATCGGTATTATTAACTTTGCCTCCTGTCTTGCTACCTACCTCTTGTCAGCCAGGACTCTTGATTCCATGTGAAAGAAAACTTCTCACTGGTTTAAGCAATAAAACAGATGCAAGAATTTACTGAGTGGTTTAACTGAAATTTTCAGAGGAATCTAATCCACATTGGTTTCAGGGCCTCAAACATGTCTTTAAGCCAAACCTCTGTCTTCAAATCTGCTTTTTGTCCATGTTGCTTTCTTAGAATTCACGTGTGGAAAGACGGCTCCAGGTCTCCGTTCTCCCACGTTTAAACCCACTGATAAAGAGGTAACACCCTTCTTAGGAACTGTAGTTTACAACAGAGGATTAAAACCCAAATATGCTTTCCCTCTGTGTCCTGCTCAGACCAAATGGACTGAGAGTGGATAAAGGATAGTTCTTCAAAGGAAATTATCAGAATAGGAAATGAATGCTGAAGAGGCAAAAATGTCAACCAGAATCTCTTCTGCTGTATGATGGAGTAAATTAACAAGTCATGTTTTCCCACTCCTGACAGAAAAATCCTCAGGTGAAGGAACAGGGATCTGAATAAGTGCCTCAGTTTGATGTTCTTTTGCCCTGAACATACAGCAAGAATTGAAAATATTTACTGAGATGAATGTTCCCTTAAAGGGAGGATTTTACAGCAAAACAGTAAAGTGTATTTTTTGAAACAAGATGGCTTCTACTTCAAATCCAAAGGACATTCATTAAAACATAGGAAATACTAGGAATTAAGACTGTAAAGATCTTCTTTCCAGTAGAAGCGCTGAAATGTGCTTTCTCCTGTGGACCAAGGATACCTTAACGCATCAAGGCAAGTAATTTCCTCAAGATAAGTAGTAGTCACACGTTGTTCCAATGAGGAAATCCATGCAAATTAGGGTCCTGGTTTATTTCCCATGCTTCATTCCCCATCTTCCATTATACTGCCACTTGGTTTTTAATCAAAGGCCAGAGGAAAATCTCCAAATGAGCAAATACATCCTGACCTCCTTTCGCGTCCCTCCTCCGGCCCAGGGCGCATGCCCGGTCTCCCAAGCCCACCCACCAATAAGAAGCAACCCAAGCCGCGCTGCTCCAGTAGATGGGAGAGGATGTCACAGGCGGTCCAGGCGCCTTCGCAACTCTTCTCTCCCAGCACCAGGAGAGAAAACGCGAGTGATGCCACTGGGGGAAAATGTCTCCTGCCAACACCCGAAAAATGTAACCTGGCGTCGGCAGTGTTTTGCTTTGGAAGGGAGAGCGGGTTCCCTTTCTGGCCTCCGGATCCCTCATCCGGCAGGAAGCTCTTCCTCCTCCTCCTCCTTGCCCCCGGCAAACGGGGTGAAAGCCAAAGAGCCTCCAAGACCTGAGGCTAGCGCTCCGCCGGCCGGCCGCGCCCTCCACCCAACCAGGCCCCGCCTCCCCGGCTTTCTAGTAACCGGCGCCCTGCTCGGCCGGGGCAGGGAACCGGGCGCCTGCAAAGCCAGGTTTCAGCCCAAGGGAGCGGGAGTCTTCTCGGGCGTCCGGGATCCCCTGGCGCGGCTCCGCGCTGCCTAACGGGGCAAGTCGCATGCGCATCGAGCCGCGCCGGGGAAAGGGAGAGTGAGGGGAGGGGCGAGCGCAGAGCCTCCGCCGGCTGTCGGAGCCCGCGGGGTCGCTGACGACGCATGCGCCGGGAGGGGGCGCAATCACCGACTCGGCCTGCGGCTGCCGGTTTAAAAAAGGAAGCCCCGGAGAGCGAGAGCGCGAAGGAAATCTGGCCGCCGCCGCGAGCGCTCCCGGTGAGTGGCGCCCGCCGGGTGGGCCCGGGGCCCGCCGTCCGCCGGTTGGCTTCCTTGGCGGCGCATGCGCGCTCCCAGCCGGTGGAGGAAGGGAAGGGAAGGGAGGGGGAGGAGGAGTGGGCCACAGTAGCGGCGAATTTTTTGGGGGGGGTTGGTGGGGGGCGCCACTCACAGCCCCAGGTGCTGCTGGAGGTGGGAGCCGCGGCGCCTCCTGCACACAGGCAGGGTAGTGGTTCCGAGTCACCGCAGCGGGAGACCTGGGTGGGGGAGGGAAGAAGCCGGAGCTGCCGCAAGCCACAAGGTGAGGGCGCGGGGAAGGGGAGGGAGCGGGGGGCGGTGTGTGTGGGGCCGGGGGGCGGCGGCCAACGGTGGGGAAGGCGGGAGCTGAAGCCCAAGTTTGGCGTCTCATTCTAGCGTGTCTTTTCCCGGGACTTGGGGCGGAGGCCCGCCCTGTCTAAGAGGCCCTCTGGGGCAGCTGGGGTTACCTGCGGGGCAGGGGCGGGATTGGGGTGCATGGCGGGGCAGGGTGGCTTGAGGGCGCCCAGAGCTGCGGCCCATTTCAGCAGCTGGGAGGCGGGGAATGCCAGGGACTGGGTGCCGAGAAAGCTTTCGCTGGGGACCCGCTAGGCCTTGTGACCCACTTTATTCCTGTCACCACTCGGGCACGTTTGGAGCGGCGCCCAATGGGGCGCCGGGGCGGCCAGCTCCTCCGGGGAACCCCCGCCCTCCCGGCGCCCGGCCTTCGCGTCGCGGTCCGCAGTCCGAGCGGCAGCCGTTGCCGCCCGCGGGCTGGTTCCGTTAGTGGTCGTGGTTCCGGGGTTCCGTCCCTGGGCAGCGCGCGGCTCGGAGCGTCTGACTCCAGCGACCGCGCGGGTTCGAGGGTTGGCGGCGAGGCGCTCGGTTTCTCTTCTTCCCTGCACCCGCGCTTCCCGCTCCCAGTCACTGCAGCTGGCGTTTGTAGATTTCTTTCCGCCGGTGAAGCTGGATTTTCTGGAGTTGGCCCTGGCGTTCTGGCCCCTGGAGTGTAATTTCCTACACGCAGCGCCGCAGAGTTTATATTCTTTGAAAGTGTCGCTGTGTAAAAGTCATTTTGTTGATGGTAGCTGAGCCTAATTCTGCAAGATAAAAGTCTCAGTCTCTGACCTAGCAGATGAAAGATCAAATCAGGTTGTGGTTTCATGCAATTAGAATGCCATGCTATACGACTTTAAGGCTTTTTAGCTTTCTTTAAAAAATAAAAAATTTTTACACTAGAAGAAAAGCACAAGTAAAGAAACTTTTACAGTCGTTGTTGATTTGACTATAACCCTGATTCCCCCAAATCAAAGGTAATTTCGCTGTGAAGATTGCATTCTGGTTTGTCTTTAAGTGATTAGAGGAGAAAATTGTGCAGTATTCCCCTTTACCTGTTTGAAGATAAACATTCTTAAAAGATTGCAATTTAGATAATGAATTGCTTTCTCTGAAACTTAGCTCTTGGGACACCTCAATTCTGGTTGTTTTCAAATCTTGGGGGAAAGAAATTAATTCAAGAGTTAAGTGGTTGCCTAAATAGAATGTCTTTAAAGGTTCGCCTGAAGAAAGCAGACTGAAAACGTGCTAGAGCTAGGCATAATCAGTTATGAAAAAAGAATGAGGAAGCTTTCTGTGTTCTAACATGGAAAGATCTCAAAAATTTGTTAGGAATGAAAAAAGCAAAGTGTAGTAGTACATTGTGAATAGTGTGTTATGTTTTAAGGGCGAGGTGTAATACAAATTTATGTTTGCTCTTTATATAAAGAAATTCTGGGAGGATCTAGAAAACTAACAACAATGGGGGAGAGAGAGAAATAGTCTAAGAGAATGGTGGGAAATGAGATGTACGATGTGTATGTCTTCATGTTTTCAAATCTTGTGTCCATTATGGACCCATAAACTGGATTGAACAAAAATCCTCCTCCCCCAAATAATTTATGTGATTTTTGTTGGCTAATTTATGGTGATTTGGGTCATTTTCAATGTGATTGTTTTTAATATTTTTTAGGAAAATCACCTAAAGTTTGGGATATATTTTATGGCTATTACACTTTAATTTTTAAGATGCCAAGATCTTACACATTTATCTTTTAAAGATGTTTAGTTGTATCTCACCTCTCTAAAATATATAATGACTGTTTACATTTGGCATGGTGGCTGGATTATGCTGCTTTGAGAGTGTAGTTGGTATTTCCCTCTTCTCTGCTTTTCAGGAGTCATAGGTGTATAAAATTTTACTTAACCCCAAAGTTTCATGACAAACAATTGGAGGATATGAACATTCCCTTAAAATGCTAGTAGACTTGATTGTCCAGGTTAGTTTGCTTTTCAGGCTGGGAAACTTTTCTTTCTTTTGAGGAAATAAAACATGAACCCCAGTGAAATATATTTTGTGTGTGTGTGTGTGTGTGTGTGTGTGTGTGTGTGTGTAGTTTGTTTTTTTTTTTTTTTGAGACGGAGTTTCGCTCTTGTTACCCAGGCTGGAGTGCAATGGCACGATCTCGGCTCACCGCAACCTCCGCCTCCTGGGTTCAGGCAATTCTGCCTCAGCCTCCTGAGGAGCTGGGATTACAGGCATGTGCCACCATGCCCAGCTAATTTTTTGTATTTTTAGTAGAGACGGGGTTTCACCATGTTGACCAGGATGGTCTCGATCTCTTGACCTCATGATCCACCCGCCTCGGCCTCCCAAAGTGCTGGGATTACAGGCTTGAGCCACCACGCCTGGCGTGTGTAGTTTTTTATGAAAAAATAAAAGTGTTCTGTTGGTGCAAAATCAACATTTTTTTTAGGACTGGATTGTTGTAAACCTTTTTAATGAGGTTAAGACTGCACAGGCAGTTGTTAGATGAGATGTAATTTTGGAAGGGAACCCACAAACTCGCACTGGTGACTAGTACTGTATAATCAAAGTGGTGAATAGTGAGTAACGGGTTGCAGTTGCTGTGGGCATTTTTGTAATATTACCAGTATTCCCTTTTGTCTTGCAAGATAAGATACTTATATTATTTGTTTGATATGTTGGTTTTTCTAATAGACTTCTGCAAAGTGGCACCTGTTTTTTATTTGAATTCCATGTGGGTCCATTCAGTCTTTTTAAAAAGTGGAATTACATTTCAAAATCTTTTTTTTTTGAGATGGAGTCTCACTCTGTTGTCAGGCTGAAGTGCAGTGGAACGATCTCGATTTCGGCTCACTGCAGCCTCCGCCTCCCGAGTTCAAGCAGTTCTCCTCCCTCAACCTCCCAGGAAGCTGAGACTCTTATTTTTAAAATTACAGAAATAAATTGATAGTTGTAAAATGTTAAAACAATACAATGTATATATAATAAGTGACAACCCCTTTACATACTTCCACTTCTAGCTCACATTCCTCCCCAGAGGAATCTGGGGAGCACAGCTACTTGTATACCCTTGACTGAAGGGTATCACTGTTAACAGCACTGTATGATCTTCTAGATCTTTTCCCTTGTATTTGCAAATAGGTCGTTTTCAGTCTTGAAAACCAAGTTGTCTTGAATGATCATCTGCTCTGCCATTTGCCTCTAGTATGGGCTCTGCTATTACCTACAAGTCAGGGACATTACTTGGAGCATGTCAGAAAGCCTAACATCTGATATGCATCGTAAGTCATACTCATCTTTTCACTAGTGGGAGCCAGTTGTTATGGAAGCATTTGCAGAGTTTACAGGGAGGTCATACTGATGTGAGTTTTATCTGGTATAGATCGAATTCAGTGTAAACTTTGAGAGGTCGAGGTGGGAGAATGGCTCGATCTCAGGAGTTCAGGACCAGCTTGGGCAACAGAGTGAGACCTCTTTGCTCAAATTTTTTTTTTTTTTTAATTAGCCAGATGTGGTGGAGCGCCCCGTAGTCCGAGCTACTTGAGAGGCTGAGGTGGAAGGGTCACTTGAACCCAGCAGTTCTAAGACCAGCCTTGGTGACAGGGTGACACCTGTTTTAAACAAAACTAAACCCCAAAAATGCTTGGATTCCATGAATTTTATAGGACTCTTTTTTAACAGTTCAAGTTTTAGAGTTTTCTTTGGCGTTTGACCTGATCAGTAGTCTATGAGATAAACTTTGATTTTTTTCCTTTTGTACTTGCTTGCAGACTACTATGAAAGCCTCCTCCTAAATTACACCAGCATCATCAGCTCCTGTTAAGCAGACTGTCCTTAACAAAGGGACACTGATACTGACTTGGATAAAATTTAGCTTTTGAAGGAGAAAGGAGAGAAAAGGTTCTTTGGTCTGGCTTGTGCTTAGCTGACAGCAAACAACTAGTATACACTCCCCTCTCCTCCATCCACCCCCCTGCTTCTCTAATAGTTAGAGGTTTGTTTGTTTTAAACCAGGTTACAAAGAATTACCAAACCTTAATTCTTTTTAGCTGATAGAGTTTGCAAAAAGTTCAGATTATTGATCAAGACTATTTAGTATACTATGGGAGATACCTAGAAAGATGCAATATAATTGACCCTGCCTTTAGTGGTTTGGAAATCTAGTATGATTAAAAGAACATAGACATTATTTTTCTTATTATTTGAGACAGAGTCTAGCTGTGTCACCCAGGCTGGAGTGCAGTGGCATGATCTCGGCTCACTGCAACCTCCGCCTCTCTGGTTCAAGTGATTCTCCTGCCTCAGCCTCCTGAGAGTAGCTAGGATTACAGGTGCCTGCCACCATGCCCAGCCAATTTTTGTAATTTTAGTAGAAATGGTGTTTCTCCATGTTGGCCAGGCTGGTCTTGAACTCCTGAACTCAGGTTATCGCCTACCTTGGCCTCCCAAAGTGCTGGTATTACAGGCATGAGCCACCATGCCCAGCTGAAAATCATAGACATTATAAAACAAGGTAGAAAATGACAGATTTTAGAAGAAAACTGCGTACAAGATTTGTAAGGGTGATCCTATTTCTGGCTGGTTTATTTTGGGGGGAAGGGTGGGAGAGGCATGGGGTTTTGAGGGAGAATATGTATCTCAA